AGTAACGCTAAGGGGCAAAATACATTGGTGGTTTTATGTAGACTCCCAAACTGTAGGGGTGATTTTGGAAATGGCACTAAACAGGAAATTAGATTCACATGCAATAATGGAATATCTGGAACTTATGGGTGACTTTAATCTGCATATAGATTGGGCAAATCAAATCAGAAACAACACTGTAGTGGAGGAATTCCTGGAGTGTAAACAAGATAATTTTCTCCACCAATATGTGGAAGGACCAACTGGAGCCAGAGTAATTAAAGGAATAATTGGCAGTCTAGGTTTGCGAAGCCCCTTGAGGACAAGTAAGGATAATATGATAATTCTTCATCAAGCTGGAGAGTAACGTAGTTGATTCTGAGATGATAGTCCTGAATCTAAATAGACAAAACTATAATAGTATGAGATATGGACTGATGGATTGAGGAATTTTATTTAAAGGGATGACAATAGCAAACATTCAAATGACAAGCAGTGACTAGTGGGGTAACATAAGGATCGGTGTTTGAACCACAGCTATTTGCAATGCATGTTAATGATTTTTAGATGAAGAAACATAATATCTCCAAAATTGCAGATAACACAAAGCTGAGTGGGAAGATGAACTATGAGGAGAATGCAGCGATGCTTCAGTGTGAATTTGTTTTATTTTGACACGCTAAGTGAGTGGGCAAGTGCATGGCACATGCGGTATAATGTGGTTAAATGTGAGGTTATTCACTTTGGTATCAAAAGTGGGAAGCTTATTATATAGAAGGCTATAAATTGAAAGACAGAAATGTGCAATAAGACCTGGGTGTCCTCATACACCAATGGCGGAAGGTAAGCATGCATGTGCAACAGGCAGTAAAGAAAGCAGATAGTATGTTGGCCTTCATAAGGACAGGTTTCAAGTACAGGACCTGTTGCAATTATACATGACCTCTTGTGAGACCTTGCCTGGCATATTCTGTGCAGTTCTAGTCTCCTCCTTTAATTGAGGAAGGAAGGGAGTGCAGCGAAGGTTTACCAGATTGATTCCTGGGATGGCAGATCAGAGGTTGAAGCAGTCAGAATTGTATTTGCTGGAGTTCAGAAGAATGAAAGGAGCATCTCAGAAATCTATAAAATTTCAAAAGGACCAGACAGAGTAGATACAGGAACAATGTTCCTGATAGAAGGGGAATCCAAAATTAGGTGTCGCTGTCCAAGGATGTTGAGGTGCCAATGTTGGACTGGGATGGACAAGGTCTGAAGTCACAACACCAGGTTATAGGCCAACAGGTTTTTTGAAATCACAAGCTTTTGGAGCACTGCTCCTGTGTCAGGTGAAGTGAAGAGAAGCACACAGGCATATAATAACACAACTGTACAAACTAATTAAGGTAGGTAGATCACAAGTTACCAAGGTGATAGTATCAAAACAGGACAGTAAGGAAGATTTTACAGATACAGAAGCACCCAGAGAGTGGCCAGTCTGTGAAATTGCTACCACAGAAAGCTGTAAGGCAAAAACATTGCATGACTTTCAAGAAGAACTTGATTCTAGTATTTGAGGCTGAAGGGATCAAAGGACATAGGGGTGGGGGGGCGGCATGTGGATAATCAAGAATAGGTTGAGTTGGATGACCAGCCATCATCATAATGAATGTAGAGCAGGCTCGAAGGGCCAAATGGTTTCCTCCTATTTTTATGTAATACTGGCAGCTGCTGCTAATAAAATAGATGTGGTTGCTATGATCTGAAATTGTTGAGTCTGACAGACCAGAAAGGAAATGGAATGCAATGAAGATGAACAAAGTAGAGACCGGTTGAAATGGTGTCAGGAAGAAGAGCAGAGCTCCTTGGTGACAACGAATAAGTCACTACTACAAAAGCAAAATGCCGCAGATGCTAGAAACTGCAATGTAAATAGACATTGCTGTAAATATACTGCAGGCAAGGCACCATTCTGGTGTTCATTAATCACTCCTGTTTATGCCAGCAGTACCTTTTCACTTTGCTTTCTGCACATTTTGCAATGCTCAAACTACAAAATGTTAGTTGTGTAACGCTGAACCTTGGGATCGATCTATGCTGCAAAATGTCCACCACTCCCCAGCAAATTGTTCCCAAATTTGATTGTTGCTAACCACCAACTATCTTTAACTAGATTTTTTAAAATTGAGCTATTTATCACTGATCTACATGCTGTTATGTCTCAGAGGCCAGTTTTTTAAATACAATATGAAATATGGTTATTTACTGAAAGAATGAAACTATAAATTTCCACAGTTTAAAGCAAGATTATTGACACTTGAATGGTTTCTTAAAAAGCAAACACAAAGTACTCTTTATCCTATACACTTAACATCAGCAGCAACAGGAGCTAAACATGAATGAACAGGCAAATTGTGGTTGAAGTATAAGTAGTGCGTTTAAATATAACTGAAGCAGATCTTACAAATTTGGCTCAGGAGTCCATTAGACTTTGGCAATTGCACTCCGTCATAAAGTCCTTTTAAGCTCTGTCTTCCTCAGGAGGAACTTCAGCTCCTTTCGTTCTAGGAGTTAATTTGATTCCCAGCTGACAGCAGCACACAACTAATCTAAATTCCACCGTCCCAGTCTTTATCACAATGGCTCATAATTGTTGAATCTGCTTGTCTTGATGCTGTATGTCCACCGAACAGATCAGTATCTCTTTAGATCCTGGATCTGGACTGTCGTCTTTAAGCTTGTTTATACTAGCACAGGCAAATGTCCTTTCTATATCTTTTAAACAAGTCAATTTGTTGAAAGTTTTTTGATTTTCAAACTTCAATTTGTTTTTGCTTCCTGAGAAACTGGGAGAGTCAGTTTCCTTTCTTTTATTTCAGTTTTGTTCCTATATTATCTGTTTTATTCTCTCTTTCCTTTTCAATGCACGCTGTTTTAGTCAGGATCTGCTTTAAACTAAGCTAAATTGGAAACTACAAATTTCCACACAATGGTGACTACTTTAGAAATTAATCCGTAAAGTATTTTTTTAAAAATCTGACTATTTTAAGTAATGGAACTTATTGCTTCTATAAATTGTGTGTATAATAACTCGTATGTTGCAGGCTTGCAACACCTGCTAGTAATACCATATAATAATTGTACTTCTGCCATACACTTTCCTCATTAAAGTTTTTTTGCATTTTCTGATGAATCAGAAATACTGTAATATATTTTCAACTCAGTCATAAGTTTGAAAATGTAATAGAAACTAAACTATCCGATCTATAATCATTTTAATATAATTTTCCAACAAACGTGCCTGACTTGATCAAAACTATAGCTGTGATTTGTAAATCTCGGGCCAACCTTGAATGCTTGAGAAATCTGTACTTTACAATCAGTTACACATCCGAGAGGTAGTGTAGCTTAATGGGAATTTCCCATGTCGAGCTGCAATGATGTTATTTCAACTGTCTTAAGGAGCTAATCACTAATTTTCAGAACAAATCAGGAAATAAAAATCAAAGCTTCTGAAAATGTTTGAGTGAAATAAAGATTTAGTGCATACAGGTGCTAGAAGCTGAAATGCCGTGAAGGTGATGAATTATTGTAGACCAACTTTTTTTTGCCAAATCAAAATGATTATTTACACAACTTTTTTTTTTTAAAAGGGGCTGATTAGTTGTTCAAAAGTTGATATTACTCAGATCATTGACATTTTAATAATCCAGTAACCTCCGCTGAACATTTTTTTTCTGGTATGATCAGGGAGATGGAAATGGGGTGGGTGACAAATGGGCAACTTCGGGATTCTAGCTTTTTTAATCTGTACTTGCACCAAATCCTGCGGTCCAATTTGAGAGCAGTAATGACATGTATGCTAACCATTTGCTATTTTAAAAACTCAATTGTACAAATTTCAAGTTAGGGCTTTTAATTTGATTAACAATTGCATTAATATGGTTCACCTAACTAAAGTGTTTTGTGAATATTTTTGATTTATGTTTTTATTCCCTCAAAAGTCAGAATTTTGACTTTGCTTTTTGTCCGTATTACTACCATTAATGAACGGAATTATTACTTGTGGTTGCAATTCCTTAAGTGCCAATGATTTTCTGGGATGTAATAATGCAATTCGAAGTCTGCCTTTTCTTGCATTGTAGTTTGTGCTTTTTGTTTTCCTGAATGGTTTCAACCGATGTAACGCTTTTGAGAATTTCACACGACGACTATCTAATTTTTACAAGCTAGACAACTGAAACAGCGAATAATAATTTGAGCACCTCTTCTTTTTCCTTTAACATCAGAATTTTAAAACTCTTAAAAAAAGAGAAATTACTTTCTTGACCATAGAATCTGAAATTTGTATTTAGCTGAATTTGTAATTATTATCAGCATGTCCATCTAAATATTTTAAACAAACCTGAAAGCTAATTTACTTACCACAAAGCAACCGTCATTGATTTATGGTTTTATCTAAATTCTGAGTAATGTTGGACTTTGATTTTTGAAGGTGTGAACATTTTTGTCCTCCTCCAGCAGCCTATACACTTAAAATTATTGAATTTGAAATTTTGTACAACTGATCTGTTCCCTTCAGAATTGTTTTAAATGTAGCAATTGAGAGGTCCTTTGTCTTCTGAGATGTTTAAATGCAAACCAAGTTTGTATTGGAGGATGTATCATTGTACTGTTAATATGTTGTCAAGGTCCTTGTGCCTGTTTCTTCACACTGCTGAAGAAGGTAATTTGTACCCTAATGAGCTGTGGATGGTGTGTAATGCATTTAATATGCACCTGGGTCTCTTTCATCAGGAAAGTGTTTGTGCTGTCTATGAGGAGTGATGTGGGAAAACAGGATGTGAAGATTTTACTGTTAAATGTCACCTTTGTGCAGTTAAGACACAAAGCTGAAAGTGTGTTTATTGCAGACTATCAATGCCAAACATGATTGCTCTAACCGGTGTAAGCAAACATCCTGCAAATGCTGTTGGACAAAGGATATAATCAGGTGTCTTCAGTATATTTTTTTCATGCATCGTTTGTTTTTTTTTTTCCAGAACTTATTCACCGATGCAACCCAAAGTGTGGAAGAGGATCCACTAATAGACAATTGCCTTCTTTATGGCGATTCTCTAGTTGGTGATATGCGAGCCCATTTCAAAGGTGTGCCAACAGTCTGTTGGGGAATTCTGTTAGCATTTCTGCATGTGAGTGTTAGATTTCCTACACAGGAACCTCCTCTGAATAGAGATTATTTGACTTGTATTGCAATGTTAGTTTTCTTAGTGTGTAATGCTATACTGAAAATGCTGCAAAAAGTAATAAATCTTAACAATTGCTACTTTTATTAGGACATTCTGACAACATAATATCTTTTGAAAATAGAATAAAATTTATTTCACGACATAAATATTCCCTAGTGAACAGTGTAGCAAATGACATGTCATAGTTTGCATTCACTTCATTTTAAGTGACTTTTTTAAACCCTGTGTAGTTGATATTTATTTTGTAGGGTGAATAGAGAAATTACCCACTCTTTATTTAGAAAGCAAAATTGTCAGTGTAGGTAGTATATTTTTGGCACAGACCCGATGGGCTGAAGCACCTCTTCTAAAATGGACGTTATTGACAGAATAACTCTTCTATCCACTCGATGATGACTATCTTCAATGTAACATGTATGTCAAAATTTCTTCAAGTGAAACTTTAATAAAAGCATTTTTGCTTTTGTCTGCTAAAAGCGCAGCATGCTTTGGATACCTCTGTTCTGTTTGTGGACTTTAAAAGTACTGTATTTTTAAAACCATTTATGGTACTTTTTTTTTAAAGCCAATTTCACCCCATAAACCCAAATCTTAACTCTGCAATTTCCTGAAATCTTATGATCAGAACATTTTAGATTTCATGATTGGCCTGAATTAAAGTTGACTTGCATATGAAATAATAAACTGAGGTTGTTGAAATCATTTTGTAAACCATTTTTATGTGACCTGAGTAACAGTGATCTTCACAAAACCAGGGCCCCATTATCAGAAACATGAATCTGTAACTTCATAGAGTCACTCACTAGAGTGTAAAGGCAAGCCATTCGGCCCATTGAGTCCACACTGACCCTGCTAAGAGCATCCCACTCTTCTGTTTTCCCCCCCCCCCCAATAAAAATCCCTATAACCCTGCATTTCCCAACTTGTAACCATTGAAGTCAATTTAACCTTTAATACACACGATGTGTTCCAGGTATTATTAAATAGAGTCATGGATGAAGGCTTTCACTTTCATTTTGAAATGAAACCGATAATGGGAATGCTCTTGAGTAAGAAATAACTGACCCTACAAATAAAAGCAAGACTGCTGAGGTTTAGATAAGAAATGCTTCTAAAATCTCTTTCTACGTGACATTTCTGTTAATAGTGAACTTGTGCAGTTAAACCATATATGCAAAACTAAAGCATTATGTGGATTCATTGGTTTTTAACAAAATACATTTGCTTTGCTATCAAGTTCCTTATCCTTTTTTTTTAATGGAGTAAGTATCTTCTTTGTTCTAGGTTGCTTTTGTAGTTTTGGCATTCCTTTTGGTCTTTTTGTGTGAAACACCAGCTGACCTTTGCACAAGTGTCCTTGGGTCCTTCAACGCTGTGACCATTATAACAATTACAAAGGTCATCCTTTGGGCTGTCTATGCTGTCTTTGAATATTACTTGCAAGTTCAGCATTCCAAGTTCAGAATGAGAGGCTATCTGGAATTGTACCGCTCCATAAGGCATCTGAAGCGTCTGCCGCTACTTATTCATTCTGCAGGTGAGGAAGTAATTGCCAGGATAAGGGTGTTTGGGTACTTAACTAATACCTATGACGTGCGAAGTTCCTTGGAGGATAAAGGCATCACCTGATACACTTAAGTTTTATCTAGATCTGAAAATCACATGTTTGCTTGCATTCTCGTACAAGAGAATGCTTTGCTTTGGAGGTAGTAAGTGGTAACACACCTTGAACTGCAAACTAACTTGTTTCTGGAGGAGATAGCAAAATTCTTTCTGTTGCAGCACACTGAACTGGAAAGAGATTTGCTCCAGTCATCTTGCATCATTTTGAGGCAGTGGCCTTCAGCAAAATATCACTAATCTCCACATCAAGCCAAATGTATACATACACGTACTTCTCGGATATGGTGTAAAAACTTTGTAAACTACTCCATGGCATAAATGGGGCAGTTATTTCATGCAGGGGATTCTGCTTATAACACTATTACATCATGTTGTAGAAAATTGCGCTATAGAAATAAAGGGGCTTAAAGGAAAAGTGAGGTTAAGGGCAGACCACCAAAAAAAAGGTCACTCAAAATAACAAAATTCTTCCTCACCACTCTCCTGTAAGTATTGGTGCCATGTCTGTCACTTGTGTGAGCCTTGATACTTCCAATCGAATAAAATTTATTCACTTGCAACATAGTCTGCATCACAGCCTAGCCCATTGCTGATCTGACCTGACATTCCATCAGCACAGACTTCTGGATAGATCGTCAGATAAGTGAGGCAGAGGAATCTGACGCTTCTTCTGTATGTAGCCCATTGACATTGAAGTTAATTGTTGGATTAAAATGTGTGATAAACCTGAGTAACATTGTATTCAAAATAGTGCTGGTAAAGAGCAAGTTGTAACAGACAACTTCTTTTGTTATAAATGATTTACATGGGCAAGTTCAAAAGTTCTTGCATATTTAACGTGTAACAAAATCTAGGCAAAAATATTACACAAGGGTGCATGTTTTAACAGCATTCATTATTTTAAACTATACTTCATTAAATGCCAAAAAAATGTGTTCAGCATAAACTCTTCAAACTAAGACTTCACGTATTTTCCTAATAAGACAGTTGTTCTCTGTATGAGATAACACGGTGTAGAGCTGGATGAACACAGCAGGCCAAGCAGCATCAGTGGAGCAGGAAAGCTGACGTTTCGTCTAGACCCTTCTTCAGTGGATCTCTCTCCCACTGCAGCCCTCTTGTAATCACCTTGTTATCTCAGATTCTCCAGCATTGGCAGTTCCTACTATCTCTGTTCTCTAAGATATTTCATTTGAGGTTTATGACATACAATCCAATTACCATTTTCAAATGAGCTCATTATGTCTTACTCTGAACATTTTCAATCCTAGTTGATGGTGTTTTTAAAAAAAAAAGAAATTATTCTTTGACAAAGCCCGTGATATCAATGCTTCCTCGATGGAATCTCGTTATAGCAAACACAAGTTCGCGTTTTAGAAATAATGTTTCCCCTATTCGTCAATTGCGTTATATCCAATTCATGTTGCTGGAACACATGTTATAGCAGAACTCCCTGTTGTGTAAATGGGATAGTTACTTCAACTCTTAATGACTGCAGCTGACCTTTGCAGCACCATTTCCTGAAGCACTGTGAAAACAATATTAACAAAGTGAGTTGTTTCAGAGATAGCAGGAACTGCAGATGCTGGAGAATCTGAGATAACAGTGTAGAGCTGGATGAACACAGCAGGCCAAGCTTCAGGGTCTAGGCCCGAAACGTCAGCCTTCCTGCTCCTCTGATGCTGCTTGGCCTGCTGTGTTCATCCAGCTCTACATCGTTTGAACAAAGTGAGTGTGTTTGTTTTTGTTGTTACTAACAATTGCTATTACAGTGCTGAATCTCCTTTTTTTTTCTTGTCAAAATCATACAGTCTGCTGTACGTTTCTAAGAACAAGGTGATGCATTTAAGCCAGTCAAGAAGTGTATGTTGCTTTTTATAAACTTTGCCCTGTTCAAGAGCCATTTCCGCTTTGTACCTGTATATATTGCCTTTTATTTTTTCAAATCGAATTGCATTTAGTTTTGTGGTGTATCACAAGGATCTGTTCTGGGTCCTCTTCTATTTGTGATTTTTTTGTAAGTGATTTTGGATGGAGGAGTGGAAGGGTGGATTAGCAAGTTTGCGGACGATACGAAGGTGGGTCACATTGTGGACAGTGCAGAGGGCTGTTCTAGGTTACAAAGGGACATAGAATGCAGAGCTGGGCTGAGAAGTGGCAGATGGAGTTTAACCCTGAAAAGTGTGAGGTGATTCATTTTGGAAGGACAAACTTGAAAGCAGAATACAGGGTTAATGGAAAGATTCTTGGCAGTGTGGAGGAGCAGAGGGATCTTGGGGTTCATGTTCACAGTTCCCTGAGAGCTGCCACCCAGGTGGATAGAGTTGCTAAGAACGCGTATGGTGTGTTAGCTTTCATTAATAGAAGGATTGAGTTCAAGGGCTGTGAAGTTATGCTCCAGCTATACAAAAGTCTGGTTCGGCCACATCTGGAGTATTGTGTCCAGTTCTGGTCACCTCATTACAGGAAAGATGTGGAAGCGTTGGAAAAGGTGCAGAGGAGATTTACCAGGATGTTGCCTGGAATGGAGGGAAGGTCCTACAAGGAAAGGTTGAGAGAGCTAGGGCTTTTCTCTTCAGAACGACGAAGGATGAGAGGTGACTTGATAGAGGTGTACAAAATGATCAGAGGTATAGATAGAGTGGACAGCCAGAGACTTTCCTAGGGTGTAGGTAGCTATTAAGAGGGGGCATAGTTTTAAAGTGAGTGGAGGTAGATATCGGGGAGACGTCAGAGGTAGGTTCTTTACACGGAGTGGTAGGGGTGTGGAATGCATTGCCGGAGAGGGTATTGGAGGGTAGGGACATTTAAGTGGCTATTAGATAGGCATATGGATGATAGTATAAAGTAGCGGCAGAGGTTAGACAGACCTTAGGATTAGGGTAAAAGTTCGGCACAACATCGTGGGCCAAAGGGCATGTTCCGTGTTCCACAGCCTGCATCTTCCAGCATTGCTTTGTTTATAGTCCAGATCAAAGTGCTGGATGAACTCTGGTTTTTCAGCATCTCTGTAAAGAGAAACAGTTAATGGGCTGAATCTTGCCAGAAATCAGTCGCATGTCACTTTTGACAAGTTTGGTGGTCTTTCACTGCAAGTTTCCTTGTCCTATTGTCTCAAACTGACTACATTATGACTGCACCACTCCTCAATGGCACGCTAGTCATATTCTCCTACCTGCCACAGACTGAATCCCCAGTGCTTATGATTGAAGACCAGCCATGCACCCGGGCCAGGCTTTGGAAGTCTGGAATTGCCTTTCACTCTGTCCACGTAAAATCATAGAATCCCTCCAGAATGGAAGCAGCCTGTTTGGCCCATAGGGTTCACACCAATCCACTGAAGAATATCCCTCCCACACCTCCTACCCTCTCCCTGTAAACCTGCATTCCCCAAGGCTTATCCACCTAGCCTGCACCTCCCCCGACACTAGGGCAGTTTAGCACGGCCAATCCACCTAACCTGTACACTTTTTTGGACTGTGGGAGGAAATCTGAGCACCTAGAGGAAACCCATGTAGATATGGGGAGAATATACAAACTCCACACATCACCAGGGAGTGGAATTGAACCCAGGTCCCTGGTACTGAGGTAGCAACGCTAGCCACTGAGCCACTGTGGCCTTGGAGTAACTACAAACCAGTACTTGTTGATGCGCATAAGTGGCATGACTAACACTTCAATGCATGTACAAGTTCAGTCTTGCATTTATTGCTGTTTTAAGCAGAGATGGTGTGAGTATCGAAGTAAAATGAACACTAAGAACCTGAGATAGTAGGAACTGCAGATGCTGGAGAATCCGAGACAATAAGGTGCAGGGCTGGATGAACACAGCAGGCCAAGCAGCATCATAGGAGCAGAAAGGCTGACGTTTTCTGATGAAGGGTCTAGGCCCGAAAC